CTCGCCAAAGCCTCGAACATAGCGGCTGTTGCGAAACCGAAAAAAGGAAGGAGGGTTGCCATACGGTATCACTTTATTTTGAAAAGGCTATTAGAACAATGGTTAAAACTCCAAAACCAATGCGCAACGTAGCCATTTTAGCCTCTGGGCAACACCTGTAGTTAAAGTTGTTCCTCCCGGTGGTGTGGGAGGCAGGTTCCGCTTCGATGGTCTGGAGCGTGGTGGCACGAACGTCGCTGAGTGACGGGTCGACTCACTGCTTGTAGAGGACTATGTGCATTTATTTACACTCTAGTTACAAGTCCCAACTTGGGAAATCATCCCGCCTCGTCTAAGGCCTCGACCCCCGTCCCCAATTTCTCTCCATCAAATCCAAAGTCCGAATCCCTCAAAATCCTCTCCGCGCTCCTTTTGTAGGCCCGTAGGGGCCTCCTTTCCCTTCAGGAACCGACCAATCACTTCAAATTCCGCCACTCACACGTGGTACACTGTTCTCGAATGGTCGGCGAGCTGTCATTTTAGCGTCCCAACCGCCAAACCTAAACTCCTTGTAGAGTTGTTCTCTGCAATTTTCCCAGCCTGACTGGCGCCAACCGCTAAGTTATTGCATCGGGCAAAAAGCGACAATTTTATACAAAGCGGCAAAACCCTCTGCATACACGCACATTCGGCTATAAGCCACAAGCATCTTCCAGCGCGGGCTCTTTCGGTCCCGGTCCGAGCAGACCCCCGAAACCCGAGACGCTTCTTAACGACCGGCGGGGGGACCGCTCCCGCGTCGCGGCCGCTCTGGCCCCGCCGACCCAAACGTAGAAAGCTAAAAAAACACAATGCCGACGCAACTCTGGAAAGATAAACTTTCCTAACCAAAAGAAAACACCTTAATTAATAAGCAGGACTCCTAAATACTTAACTCCTCCCCACCAAGACTGTTGCGTTGACACTTGATGTAAGCGCAACATAAATTCCTTCCCCGAATATCGCACTGGCAAATATTCGAACCAACTACTTGGCCCACAGTTAACCAAAAGCAACAACGTCAACATCACGCTCTAAAAGTTCACCAACTGATCATACGTAAATGTGAACACAATCAAACGGCACCGATAAAAATAAGAAAATGGTTACAATTCCAAAACCAGAAACACTAAAACGGCTGCCGCAGGCAAAACGTCCAACACACACCAGAATGGGCACACAAAAGAAAAATTGCCGTGATAGCTGTAATGTTCAAAGTCAAACTGCCACTCACGATCACACACAAGTTGGACCCACTCCTGTACATTCCAGGGTCCCGCAAAATCAGTGGTGGGAGCTCTCAAAACTGTGGCATAATGACCACGCCCTAATCATGCCTGCAGGTCTAGCCGCAACATGCTTACCAACGCTAAAGCTACCAAACACGTTTCAATTACGTGGGGACACTCAAACTTCCCCGCAGAGAATAAAAACCGAACACAAAAAATATATATTTCGTAGAATATAATATACCGAGGGGCCAACCGAAGGCCAAAAGAACAATGAATCAGGGGGGCCGTGACATAAATGTAGACTAAAAGTGAAATAAAAACCTAGTAGCCTGGCTAGCTACCCCCCTAATCGTGGCCGTTTGGTCGTCCATCTCGTCGCCGTTAAAGACGTTCTGAGGACTACCTGGGGCGGCTCGCAGTCAGTCGCTTCCGCAACACCCGCCGATCCCGAGCCCAAACCTGAAGTCTGCTGTTCACGCGTGCGAGCTCTGGGCACCGACCGGTGTGGCTTCCTCGTCTCCTCCGTGTTCATTTGGCTTTTTTCGCCCCCGCAGCACTTTGCGTCCAGACTCCCCCTTCTGGAGTAGCGCGACGCAACCTTGTCCCTGGGCGTCGCCCTGCGATGCACCACCGGCCTGACCTTCGGCGACGACACGGCCCTGGTCCCGAAGTCGGCGCCTCTCCGCAGTCGGAGCTTCCGTCTCGACGCCTGGATCGGAGGAATCAAGGCTCTCTTCGCCGTCCTCTCGCCGTCGTTCACATCCTCTTCATGACCGTCCTTGTCGTAGCCCGGAGCCGATGCAGGGTTGGACCCGGAGTCCTTGTTGACCGCCGACTCCGACCTGGCGATGCGCTTCTTGCGCAGCCGTTTCCTCCCAGCCTGGGACGGCCCTTGCCTGCCCAGTGCTGCGGTGACCGGTGCGCCGGGGTTCCCTGGATCCCGGCGCTCGATGTCGCCAACCGGGTTCGTCCCCTCGTCGCCGCCGTCACCATCGCTCCCGCTCTCGCTCTCGCCTCCTTGCGTCACCGGATCACCGGCGGGTGCATCTGCCTCGTCCGCGTCAGCTCTCCTATTAACGGGCTTCACCTCGCGGCCGCCGCAGTCATCGCCGTATGCGTTCTCCTCGCGGTCTTCCTCCGGATTTTCAAGCTTCTGCCGCTCGTACAAGATTTCGGGTAACCCGTCGTCGTCGTCCGTTTTCCCGGTGGGCTTCTGGTGTCCCTTGCCCGTCCGGACCGCCGGCTCGACCTCGATGTCGCCGCAGTCATCGCTGTCCGCGTCTATCTTCTCGGTGGGTTTGGACTGTCCGTTGTCCGTTTTGACAACCGCATTGGATGCGCCGCCCGCTCCGACCCGGCCCTCGTCTTTCCTACCGCGGCGCGACTTCTCTTCTGCCTGCTTCAGATTAAATTGGGCGATCTCGAGCCTGGCTTTTAGAGCTGCAATTTTTAGCTCAAACGCGTTATCGCCCTCACTCCCTTCACCGCTGTCACCATCGCTCACGCTTTCGCAGCGGGCCTCGATGTTCACCTGTTCCGGGCGTGTCGTCCACGGCAGCAGGAGACTTTCCCATTCCACTAGGTGTTGTTCGCCCGTCTTGACGACCGCCTCAGATTTTCCGTTCGCTCCAACCTGGCCCTCATCTTTCCCACCGCGGCGCCAATTCTCCTCGTCCTGATTAGCGTAAAATTTGGCTATCCTGAGTTTGAGTCTTAAAGATGCAATTTTTAGCTGGAGAGCGTTCTCTCTTTCACTCCCTCCCCCTTTTAATATGTCGTCCAACATCGCCGGGCTCTAATCCCCGTTCTCGCTCATTATAACTCGAGCTCCTTTAGTCGTCGACCGCGACACCACTGACATGCGAAACTCGGAGGAAACAGAAATGAGTCCCACCTGTGTCAGCGCGCCGCTCCTGAGTCGATGACTCTCCGGTGTCGCTGGACGTCACCCACCGGAGTCGGTCTTGGGTTCGGGCCCGGCTGGTCCGCTCTTCAGGTCGCAACACCACGCAACCTCTCACGAAGACGATGCTGCGTCGTCGCTGTATTTTGGGCCGTAACCCACGAAGCTTCTCGCGTGTATGTTGCTCCGTCCACTCGTTCTCTTCGGGTCGTAACCCACAAGGCCTCTCACGAGGATGTCGCCTTGTTCACATCGGGTCGAAACCCACGAGGCCTCTCACGGGGATGTCGCCTTCTTCTCTTCGGGTCGAAACCCACCAGGACCTCTCACGTGGATGTCGTCCTGGTCACTTCGGGCCGGAGCCCACGAGGCTTCTCACGTGGATGTTGCCTCGTCCACCGTTGACGTCGGGTCGAAACACCCAAGACCTCTCACGTAGATGCCGTCTTGGTCACTTCGGGCCGGAGCCCACGAGGCTTCTCACAGGGATGCTGCCTCGTCCACCGTTGAGCCGAAGCTCACGTACTTGCCCGCAGGTCGCCGCCACGTCGTCTCACCGGAAATCGCGCCACCATCCTGTCGACTGCGCCAGTTAAAGTTGTTCCTCCCGGTGGTGTGGGAGGCAGGTTCCGCTTCGATGGTCTGGAGCGTGGTGGCACGAACGTCGCTGTAGTGACGGGTCGACTCACTGCTTGTAGAGGACTATGTGCATTTATTTACACCCTAGTTACAAGTCCCAACTTGGGAAATCATCCCGCCTCGTCTAAGGTCTCGACCCCCGTCCCCAATTTCTCTCCATCAAATCCAAAGTCCGAATCCCTCAAAATCCTCTCCGCGCTCCTTTTGTAGGCCCGTAGGGGCCTCCGTTCCCTTCAGGAACCGACCAATCACTTCAAATTCCGCCACTCACACGTGGTACACTGTTCTCGAATGGTCGGCGAGCTGTCATTTTAGCGTCCCAACCGCCAAACCCAAACTCCTTGTAGAGTTGTTCTCTGCAATTTTCCCAGCCTGACTGGCGCCAACCGCTAAGTTATTGCATCGGGCAAAAAGCGACAATTTTATACAAAGCGGCAAAACCCTCTGCATACACGCACATTCGGCTATAAGCCACAAGCATCTTCCAGCGCGGGCTCTTTCGGTCCCGGTCCGAGCAGACCCCCGAAACCCGAGACGCTTCTTAACGACCGGCGGGGGACCGCTCCCGCGTCGCGGCCGCTCTGGCCCCGCCGACCCAAACGTAGAAAGCTAAAAAAACACAATGCCGACGCAACTCTGGAAAGATAAACTTTCCTAACCAAAAGAAAACACCTTAATTAATAAGCAGGACTCCTAAATACTTAACTCCTGTATAATCGACCAGTTAACGCAAGTTACTCACAATAAAACCGAGCCCGCGTTGCTTTTTTTATCTTTAACCTAACATCCTCCGGCGTCTCCTTGGCACGCCGAACAAGATCATACCCAGAACGCCACCACTTCTGCCCAGCCATCTCCCCCTCCGTTCGCTCCTTCCTCTTGCGAGGCATTGGGAAGACTGCGGCGCAACCTTTGAGCGCCTCGTTGCGCATCCTGCGCATGCGTGCGATAAGGAGAGGTGAAGGTGCCACGTGTACCTCATCATTATTCGCATGCGCATGTTCAATCTGATGTGGTGATTCGATGATTTAAAGAAGCGCTTCCGCATTGAAGGTTGCCGTTGTAACTTGCGTATGGACGCCTGTCCACGGCCGCTTGATCCCGCGGCCGCGGCCTGACGAAGTTTTGTCGAATATTTGTCAGAATTAAGTTAATGTTGAATCTTGCCAAAACCTGAACGTCGGCCTATCTCGTTTATGTCGTTTCAGCGCCGAGCGTTCCCTGTCCCACCTGGATGATTTGTGGCAGCAACAGCTGCTGCGTGAACCAGTACGGAGCGTACAGGTGCAGTCCGTACACCAACGGAACATGCTGCTCAGACGGAGTGTCCGGTTGTCCTCCTGGAAAGATCTGCGTTTAGGATTTTTTAAGCTACCCAGAGCTAACTACATCTTTAAAATACTTTGTTTTTACTGTTCTCAACATGCTAATTATTATCTCTAAATTCAAAAAGGGTTCTTAATAAAAACGGAACCTAATTATACAAACCGACATTCGCCTTTCCCCGCGCTTAACAATGGCATGAAGTCGCATGTTGCAAAACTTCCATGTCGAGCAGGTAGTCTAAAATAATAAAAAAAAAAAAAGCATGTATGTACAGTCTTGCCTTCGGTAAGCTTCCAGAACATGCATTTCTCACAATCAGAATGCCTTGCGAACCCGTTGAGAAAAAACGCTTTACTGTCAAAATAAAACATCTGTTGTCACCTTTTCAGCGTTGCTAAAAGAGCCCTGCTGCTGGAAAGAGCGATGAGGATCAAAACTAAAAATTCAATAACTACGCGAGAATTCCCAAAAATGTTTTGTCCTTCATTGGGTTACTAAATAGTTCAGCTGTGTATGAATAATCTGTTGAACCAATCTTAAGGCAAAATAGCGATCATTAACATTGCCCCGAGCCTCCCCCTTGAATAAAGATATTTTATGGTCGCCTTCCAACGACAACACACATAAGGAGATAAGAGGATCCCTTAGCAAAACGATACCGTACTTCAAACGAAGTTGAAATATATTGAATACGAATATTCATTTTGTATTTATTCTGTATTATTTTGGCCGCACTCGAAATACGCGCGAAAGGTATTCCAAATACATTATAAATATGAATCAAAAAATATTTTAGATATACCGAAAATATTATCCCTTTACACTCAAGATGCCATTTGTGCATTAAAAACCGGTTACACAATTTTTTTTTATTTTCGATTTTGTCAGCAAATGGTGTCCCTGTAGTATTTGAAGGCACTACTAAATACATCTCACAAAGCTACATTAGAAACGAACACAAACACCATGACGCACTGAACAGCTCATTCACAGTCCCGTCGACTGCTCTAGAGCCTTATATAGCCTACATATTGAAGGTAATCATTTTTTCGGTGACCACCTCTGCGCTTATTAAGGTTCCAAGTATTCGATTTTCTCCTCGGGAGTCTGTCAAAGGGGAAACAGTGTTTTGAAGTTCGTGGACGATATCTCTTACTAAAAAGCGTTGTTAAAACAAATAACAATTCGGCGCAGTCCCTAAAACAATATCCACACAAACGGCTCATAAAATACATGTTATTGCTTCTCTGCGTAGCACCACTCAGAACGAAGCGAATCAAGGCAGTTTCTTTATTTTAAAATACTGTAAACGACTTTATTTTCGTGAGGACCTAATTCTCGCAAAGTTCGCGAATCGCCTACAATTCCGAAAAATAGGTCCCGTGAACAATTCCGGCAAAATGTAAAGACATTAAAATCTATATTGCGATCCCAGCGCGTCGCGAAAATTAGAATTTGCGAATTATTCCAAAACTCCAACTTTGACCTAAATCGCGAAATATTGAGCCCGCGAAAAATATGTATTTTACAGTAGTTATTTTGCTTTTCCTTTTTAGTAGTAGACTATTTAATATAGTGGTTAATGTCACTATATTAAAGTCACTATTCACATCACGTACAATGGTGCACGTTCAGCGAACTAACATTGTGCTAACAAAACCACGCCAAACGTACCTGTTCACAGCACCTGCTGAAGCTTTCCAGCATCAGCAAATGTTGTGGTTGTAGTTCCAAAACCCCGTTTGTGATTGGTGTACAAGGAACTGATCAGGTGTGTTCTTGATAGAAAAAAGGAAACAATAACATAAACTGGGCTGATTTATCAGTGCGATGCTGCGCAATTCAGTTGACAAACTAATCAAATGTTGTATTTAGGCGCTTCAGTGTACTCCATATCTGCTTGAAGTGAACTTCTAGAAGGGGAGCTTTTCAATATTTTGGTAGGTTAAGTCAAATTACCAAAGTATTGCAGTCAAAAGGTACTTAGAGTATAACACAACAGTATTTACGATTTTCAAGTATTTTAAGAGTATTCTGAACGTATTTTTGATTGCTCCATTTTTTTAGGGTTGGAGTATATTTCGCATGAATTAAATAAATATTTTAAGAAATATATGTGAAAGGTATTTTGTTCCTATTTATTTAGTATTTACATATTTCAGAACGCATGAAGGGAACTTCAAGTGTAGTTTAAGTAAAGGTATTTTAAAATGATTTTTAGAAGTATATTTTATTACTAAGTAAAAAAAAAAAGAAGTTTATATTTTCGGTCTATTTTTCGTGTACTTACAATTATGAACTGTATTTCAAATACACTCAAATTCGAATGTGGTATATTTCAAACGTATTACTTTTCGCTAAGGGATGAAACGGCCGGCGAAGTGTAATTTGTCCTTAAAGGGATACTGAACCGATATCTGAACTTTTCAAAATAAGCCCCGGACGAGCTGCCCGGGACGTTACTATACCTAAAAATCAAGACCATACCAAGGGATGGTGATCGGATTATTATATTTCTTTGATTGAAGAGCCGCGTTCGGGCAATCCGTCGGCCGGAAGCCGCCGGTGCGATTGACGCCACCGCGGAGGAGCCCTAGCGGAACTGACGTCACAGACCTCTCGCTCCTTGGCAGACTCGGTTGTCCCGCTGCAGTCCTAATGGAGAACCGCGCCGAGTGTTCCTCATTCTGATCCAGTTTCTTCAATAATTATGCCGCGGTACTGCGCTGCACAAGACTGCTCGAACAGCGTATGTTACAGCGGCAGGCCTGCGCACAAGTTTCCGAGTGAGCCCACGTTGCGGAAGCTGTGGATTCGCGCGGCCCGTCCTTCCCAGCCAACATGGAAGCCCGCCAAAGGCGATTGTCTTTGCACGGAGCACTTCGAAGACGAGGACTACAAGACGAGCCCGAAGTTACTGCAAAGTCTGGGCTTGCCTGTAAAACAGGCCTATTTGAAGCCTGACGTGGTGCCATCGCTCTTCACGCGAAAACGCAAGCGAGAGCGGCACAGCGGCGCCGTGGAAAAACGGCGACGGAAAGAGGTGAGCGCAGTTACTAAAATATTTTTCTGCTTGTTTCTGAGAGGAAAGCACGAATGCGAGTGGTCGTGAGATTAGCGTAGTACATTGCGCGACGCTGTTAGCGCAAGCCTGCTAACTCGCCTTTGAGGACGAGCGCGGAGAAACGCCGAGATCGCGTTTTCGCTAGCAGCGTCGCGCAAGGTAAGTGTGTACTATATCCGTGTTCGCTATCGTGCCCTTAGCCGGACGAAAGGTTGCCGCCAATCGCAGGTGCTCCACTGTCGGTATCGTGTACATGGCGAGACTGCAGCTATACTCTGTTTCACCTTATGATGTACCGCAGGAAAGGCTACAAGCTCGAGCTTGTAGCCTTTCCTGCGAGCTCACAGCGTAGGCAGCTGCCTACGCTGTGAGCTCGCGATTCTTGCCTTCGTTGCGGTACAACATAAGGTGAAACGGAGTATAGTAGCTGCGGCGATGGCACTCGGTTTTCGGGCTCATTTGCTAGAAACTTGCTTTGAAGCTACGAGCTTGCGCCGGCACCTTTGGCTCAGTTGTGAAGGCTGGTATTTATCTTTATTACTACTGATAAATGCCAGCTAATTTTAATTTGAGAAATTTGGCATAAACCAATAAATATCGAATTTTGATTTGGGCTACCTGAAAATGGCACATAGGACCGAGCTGAACCATTCCTGGGAGAATGTGGTTAATTGATGATCTACGTACTTCCTTTTGGTTTGCAGCGGGTATATTCCGAGCTTGAGCAGGATGTGCAAACTCCGCGGCATCTTGAGCATGTGCTATTCTTCATTGTGGCGCATAAGGAGATGCTGTTGAATTTCGGAATAGGGTACTCACAGTATGAGTGCCACGCCATTTAGAAAAGTGTGCCTGTATACATCATTCTGTTTTGGAAAACTCATTTTCCTCTCTGGTCTGCTCTCCCTGATGAGGTGGTCAAGCTGCTGTCGCTTCATCTGTTCAGTGTTAACCTGGAAGGCAGTTTCTCTCAACTGCGGAAAATAAATGAAAAAGAGCGCTGCAGTTTTTTTTAATGAGAACCTTGTTATGGTACATATTTCCACCCCTTGTTTATATTTCTGATTACTATGACGATATCTTAGTTATAGACCAACACGCGGCCCTGACGTCACGCAGCTGCGGTGGCACTCTTGACGGCACTGCGCAGGCGCAGAGGCTTCACTTCACGTGAATTCGGTTTCTGCGTTCGCACAGTCCCCACACCTGGTGTGGGAAAATGCAGGCTTTTTTGTAAACAGTGTGGCGGTTTATAAGATCTTGTTTCGTCTATGTTCTTCCCATACATTGAATACATGCTCGCAGTAATGCTTCACGTCGACAAGTGCCGAGAATGCCTAAAAACCTGGTGGTGTATGGAATTAAATTGCAGCAAAAATCAATTCTAGTGCCAAAAATAGATGCTGCTAAATGCGTGCCAATTTAGAACAAAAATAAACACTGCGAAATCTTTTGCTGAGTTACTCTGTCTTAATCTCGCGGAATGTGGTGTTTATTTATAAAGTTCACTAAGAACACCAGCTGGCCATTTATGACAATTGCACCCCAATCAAGAGGTTATTACAAGTGTTGTTCAATTTCTCGACTCGAGGCAAGGCCACTAATTAACCTCGGTCGTCATTCGACCGTTTCATCTTAGTGTTCATGACTCTGCACTTGACGGTGTGATTTGCTTACCAGTTCAAGCAAAGTCAAGATGAGGAGGGTACACAGAGTGACATGAGCCTAATGAAGATAAGGGCTTGGGCCAGTCACCCTCATTTGAGCAGAACCTGGGTGTTAGCAGCATATTGACAGTGTGTTTGTTTGCATGTTGTAAGTTTTTATGCCTATCATTTATAGATAATTGCTGAATTGCTGGAGGCACCGGCACAAGCAAAGGCCACACTCATCGCTGAAGAAGTCAGCACATCGTCAACCCCTTCTGGTGACGACACTGAGCAAGGTCCTGACTCTGGACATGAACCAATGCATGATGCAAATGCTGGCATCGAAGAACCTTGTTCGAGCTCAGGTATGTGCGCCAATTGAAACTACTCGGCTGACATATTTTAGTACTGAATTCTGCCAAATTAGGGTAATCTAGCCTATTGCTGATTACATGAGCCAAGGATGATTTTGTTTTGAAAGACACTTTATTTCCTCTGCTGTGAACAGCCCCCTCCATCAGTAATGCCAAACAGGCTCAACCTGACCTTCGGAACGCTGCTACGCAGACCTCGGGCATCTACAGAAATCGAGGTATGTATCTGCAAGAAGAAATTTCACAGAAGGCAGCATTGTTCAGATCGTTGTAACACGTTATGATGGCACAGGCATACAAGTCACCTTGAAGACTTCATCACGAAAGTCCCAAACGAATCCTGTCCTCGTGACACCACGATGCTCCTCACCAAATCATGTCCCCCAGGCTCCATTGGATTGGATGTTGCCTGAAGGGCTGACTCTGTCGCCGCAGCCGCCAGTGCGCAGACAACCAGCTCCACCACCGGACCCACCACAGCTGCCAACAATAAACAATGAGCTGCCCAGTGCAGGCCAGGAAGAGTCTGTTGAAGAGTGTCCCACGGAGCTGCCAGAGCCACACGTGGAAGCAGACAGCCTATACCTCCCCTCTGACGCTAGCTTCCTCATGATGATGTCCGACACCGGCTTTCTGAGGTTGGTATCAGTCGGATATATGTCATCTTTAGTGACGAGTATGAGAGGGTGTGTAAGAGGTTGCTTTTTTTTTTCTTTTTTTATTCCAGGGATGCACAGCAGAACACTGCATCTGACAGCGCACTCAGTCAGCATGAGAGCAGCAAAAGCATCGACTACGTCTCGGAACGAAAGTTTATTGTTTTCGAGTCTTGTTTGGACGAGCTACTAGGTAATTGTCCCGAGTGCACTGCACTGTGCCGCATCACAGAGAAGAAGATCAGAGGGACATGTCTCCGGGTGCACAGAATGTGCAACAATGGCCACCAACACACCTGGACCAGCCAACCATCAGTGAATAGGAGGGCCCTGGGCGATGTGCTCCTAGCTGCAGCAACGCTCTTCTCTGGGAGCATTGTCAGAAAAGTGCTAAGGCTCCTCCACCAGATGGGCGTGCCCTGTTTATCGTACGAGACATACTTTAAGATTCAGGGTGCCTTCCTTCTACCAGCGATCAGACAGGTATGGCACGTTTTCAAGCTTTTCCTTTCCTGTGAGAGGTTTATTTTAGGTGCCAATATTTCAGGCTCAGCACTCCTATGGGATCCTGAATGGTGTAGTACATGCGTAGGAAGCACCATATGTTTCTGTCTACAAGTCACACACTCCTATAAACGGCTGTTTTTACAAAAAGCTTGATATATACATGTTTGCAAGTGCGTCTTCAGGGTGCCTCCATCTTGCCGAGTTGGGTTGTGCTTGGGCGCGGCCATAGTCTGATTACGACACCTTAGTGAGGCATCGTAATCGAATTTAATGCACCCAAGTGCACTCCAACTGGGCAAGGTGGCGGCGCCCCGAGGCCGTACTTGCAAACGTCTATAGGTGGCACATCTTTATACGGGCCGCAAGGCAAAACTGCATTGATAAGCTGTCATATGTATATTGTAATATAAGCACAAGTAAGAGCCAGCTTCAATGTTCTTGCGAACTACCGTGGGAAATTTGTTCTGATATGGCCGGCTGTAAGCTCTGCTGGAAGCCGGCATATTGCCAAGGTTCCAATTGTAAGGAAAAGCTGATCCGCCGACCCGAAGGCCACATCTAATGGATCTAGGTCTGTACGATTCAATACACTGCAGCACCCGAGGCTACATCTAATGGATCTAGGTCTGTGCGATGCCATACAAACTACAGGCTCTGCCGATTCTCCTTTGTTGTGACTTTGATACGGCCTTGCACAGCTATGGCTTATACTTGCAAAAAAAGCGGTGTAAGTCACACCTCTGTGTAAGATGCAGTGACAGGAATTTGAGGAAAGAAACAACTTATGTGCTGGAAAATATTGTAAATAGGGAGAGCTGAGATGTCCTCTGTTCCTCTGCACCTATGTTTACCACACTCCTGGGGTGGAAAGGTACCAACTGTGTGGGCAAAGCAAGTATATACAGGGTTCATGGCACATACTTCAAGCTCGAAGACTCGCCGCATTCCATGTGGGTGAATTGTCGCCCTATGTGTTTCTAAACGTGGAGGCAACGTTTTTAATTAGTTCTTATTCTCCTGCTTCGTGACTGATTGCACCTACTGGATAAGTGTACAGTGTAAAGGGCAGATTTTGATTTGGGGAATAAGTAAAAGAATCAAAAATAAATGTTTCCCAGGCCGATCGTAAAGATTAATCGGCGAGTACTCTATTTTTTATACGGGGTGGCATTTCTTCAAGGTTAAAAAAACGAGCCCGCTCTTGAGAAGGCGGCTCCTCGGCAGCCAAACTGTCCTTGTTGATTGCTACGAGGGGAACAAGACCTGAACAGGCAGGGGTGTATGCGACCTAAATAAGTGCAAAACTATGCTTCTTGAGTTTCAATACGGAAAATGTCAAAAGCTATTCATCAACTAGCCCTTGCATAGATAATAGAAAGTAAAAAAGTGTTTTGCCAATCTACCTAGTAGTGCGTATGTGCCTTCAATATTTATACTCACGACTCGGAGCATTTCATCCCCTCATTTTGAAAAGAAAGAAAGACGAATTACAATTTGTCAATGCTTTGATCGCATTTACTGGGATTCAAACTTAAATGCTGAACTTCCATGGACGTTCACATAAAGAAAAGAAGCTTGCAGTATACTTATAGGTGAAATGAAAAGCATGTTCAGGATTTATGTTTGTTTACAAAAGTCTTTAAAAATAAACTTCCAGGTGTGGAACAGGAAACAAAACGAGCTCTTCGAGCAAGCAAGTGGACGAGAACTGGTCCTCGCTGGTGATGGGCGGTCAGACTCCCCCGGGCACTCAGCAAAATATGGAACGTACACCGTCGTCGACGTGTCAACGAAGAAGGTTCTCCATGTGGAAACAGTGCAGGTAAATTTCCCCTGCTATAAATGTTCTGATGCTTCTGTTCTTCTGGAATGAAACCTTTCTGTAATTAATTGAAAATGAATGGCGAAAACAACTTGTTTCAGACATGGGTTGTCTCATTCAATAGCTCTAGTTGACTTCGTTCTGGATACTTCATGTTCGGTGTGATAATGCAATGTTTTATTTGTCACTTCAGTCCAACGAAACGAAGGGCAGCTGGGCAATGGAGCTCGAGGGCCTGAAAAGGACTCTACTGATTTGTGAAGCCAATGGATTGACTGTGGGAGGAATCATCACTGATCGCCACTCCATGATCAAGTCATTCCTTGCCAAGTGGTACCCCCAGATTCGGCACATGTTCGACTGCTGGCACGTTGCAAAAGGTGAGCCATAAGTAATCGGGGTTCCAGGTTATGCAAAAACAAAAAAAACATTTAATTGCAGAACACTCCTACCCTTGCCTGTCACTATACTTTGTTTCTGCGTATGTTGTACTGCAGGAAAGGCTACAAGCGGGAGCTCCTTGCTGTATGGCAACTGCTCGGCGGCACAAGCTCTCGTGCAGCAGGAGCAGCTGCCAAGGCCATGAGCTTGCGCTTCTAGTTTTCGCTGCAGTACAATATAAGCTGAAACATAAGCCGTGTTTACATGAATGCGGCTTAGTCGCATCGAATCCAGTTGTCGCATTCAATGCGGTGATGTAAACAAACAATACAGTAGGAGAGCGCATCGCATTCAAGTCGCTAGACAGAGGTGGATTGAGATGGCGAATGCACATTTATTCAAAACATGTAAATGGAGGTTGCATCGCAATTTGGATCGGGGAGGATTATGGGAAGGCACCCGCTCTGGGAGCAAGCGAACAGCTGAGAACATGGCGGCAGCCACCCTCGGCGGCGGCGGAGAGCAGTCCGTGTGGTCGCCCGCAATATTTTCTCCAGAGAAGAACCGCAAGCTTTTATTGTCAAACTATGTGAGCGACATATAGCAAATCTGCTCGGTAAAGCGGCCCTTGTCCAGGCCTCGCGAAATAGGACCTTCGTGTCCGAAGGAGTCCCTAGAGCCTTCAGTGCAAGGACAGACGCCGATAGCTCTGAGCACTGCATGCTAGGCAGAAAGAGGAGCTCCAACCTCGGTGCCGTTCCTGGCTGTGCCAGAGCCTTTCGGCCTCAGGGTCCGGTCGCGGTTGGCAAGGTTGGGCGAGGTGGCGTCCCCAGAGCGGTTGGGAACGATCTCGCTCACCAGGCCATGCGCATGCCGACTTGGAGCCCAAACTGCTTGGGTTTTGATGTTTCTTCCGTCCCTTAACTATTTGCGCAGCATCGAAGACAGCAGGCACAAACTTTACACTCGACGAAAGCGTCTAAAAAGTAAAGTGTCCTAGAGTGAGGTATCGCCATGTTTTTTTTTATACTTGAGAAAATGGGGCAGGATTGGGTTTTTCTTGTTTTTGGTGTTCATAATTATGAACTCTTTATTTTGTCAAGCTGTTGTTTCTGGCAATGTAAGCTTGGTGCTTAGCAGAAGGAATACAATGCTTCATTTTTCAGGCATCAAGAAACGCATGGTCTCAGCTGGGAAACTCAAATCCCTTGTGGGACTCCAAGACTGGGTGCAGGCAACTGTCAAGCACCTCTATTGGTGTGCGGAATCCAGCGATGGAGCGCCAGAGGAGATCCTTCCTAAGTGGACTTCCCTGGTGGGACACGTGGCTGACTTGCACGAACATGCCGACCCCCTGTATCCAAGGTGCCAGCACGGAGACCTGGGGAAGAAAAAGTGGCTTCCTGAGGGCAAGTAGACCACAGCATATTAACAGTGTTGACATGTTAGTGTTTCATACCAAGTGATGCTGTGAAGTATACACCAACTCATGTTTGCAAACAAACAGGTCCGGCCGATAGCAGTGCCACACATTGCGCAATGAGATGTGGGCAGACATGCTGGTCTGCCCACAAAACAAATTTTGCCTTGCACGCATGCTTGTCAAAGCCTTATGATTATTTACTTTGAATCGTTTATAAGAGGAAGACCAGCGCTCGTGGACCATAGAATTACACTTTCAGCGTTCTCCTCAATGCTTGGGTATTTAGAAAAAGGTCTGCTGCGACGCTGTCTGCTTTTGTGTGGTATGAATACCCGGCCGATTCAGTCAAGGCAATCCGTTTTCCTAAGACGTTGCCATGCTGACAATTATCGCATTCATTTAGGCTTAGAAATGGCCAGAATGGAGAGACTAAAAAATGTGGCAAGGTGAAGGCTCCTGCACCATTCGTTGCTGATTAACGCACCCGATACTGCAGCTACAACGACATATTAGTTCCAAAGCGAGCAGCGCTAACTCACCGGGGCACTGCCATGTTTCCCCGCATCTCTACCGAGCCAGTCGCGTGATTTCAAAATCCCTCGCCTAGGTACTGCAGTCAACTTGTAGCCATAGTTAGCGCTTCAAGCAAACGGGCCCTGGTGTGCCTTTTCTAGTGGAACCGCAATTTGCTCACACATAAAACTTTTGAATTGGCCTCAGGTTGAATTCTTTAACAATTTCAACCAAGTTGTTGTACTGGTTCTTAGTTTCAAGGTGTCTGATTATGAATGTGGAAAGTTTACTGGCTCTCTATACTGGTTAGTCCGTGTGGCAGCCAGGGAAGAACCTATGACTGCTGGTAGAGGGGAGTGAGCCGATAGGTGGTAGCTTCAGCTTTCTTCCGCGTGCATCGTTACCGCGCGGTGTTTATACGGACCGCTGGGACCTGTACTTACATGTTCGGGCACACGAGTCAACCAAGCATGACGATTTGGTGCATCATGCCTTTGCAAAATTAAAATCGGCATCGCTTGGTCTATTCGATAAAAAAATCTAGGCATCATAAACACGGGCAGTAAGCAGGACTGGTAGCAGCCTATTAAACTTACCGAATTTAATCTGTTCTCATCAACCCTTTTATTAACCTCTGGATATCATATATTTTTAATTTAATTACACAAAACTACTACTTTTTCTTATGAGCCTTAGTGTTATTGTTGTAATAGCAGATTTGAAACCACACAGTCTGTAATACAAGTGTCCTACTTTATCCAGGACTTCAGGCACACGACAAGCTAAAGAGCATCGTGCTGTCAAAGCCACTGCTGAAGGACATCCCGCAGCTCTCAACCTCAGCGCAAACCTACGCAACTGAGTGCTTTCACAGCACTGTGAACCAGTTCGCACCAAAGTCGACACACTTCGGTTACGAGAGCATGCAGGCAAGGTATGCAAGCTAACCAATTGTTTGCATGTGCCCGCTAAAGTCTTAACTTTTCAGAGTCTTTGTGGCAGCGCTGCATTTCAACGAAAACAGCGACAGGCCACAGGCGACTACTAAGGAAGGCAAAAAAAGGTTCCTGGTCAAGCGGCCTAAACAAACAAAGAGGCCAATTGCATCTCCCATGAAAGGGCCCTGCACATACGGTAAGATGTCAAAACGAGTACAACTACCAGCTTCTAACATCTAGTCTTAATTTCAGCCTATGTACAAGAGCTCATGAAGGAAACCCTCGCCCTCAATTGCCACTACCCGTCGTACCGAGCTGCACGAAAGGCCAACTGTGTCGAGGCTCCCCCAACTCTGTCCAGTGGATATGAACGCCCCAACAAGGACCTGCTCATCTCTAACCACCGTTCCCGGTTCAACTGCTAAGCTGAAGCTGAAGGAACATGTACTGTCGGGGAAAAATCAAATGCGAACAGAAGAACGCGTGGCTTGCGGTACAAGCTGCGCCGCCTGGAAGCGAGCCTAGGGGCGAGGGTGCATGGCCTACCCGATGAGTTTACGCCCTTCGCTCGGCACTCCCCAAGCTTCAGCAGTGCGCCTCTTAGTGCACTGAAAGCTATCACCACTATCTTTGCTCACTCGGCGCATGCGGCACAAGGAAGCTTGCTGCTTGTAGCAGCTAAAGCGCGCACTCTCTCGGAGCGAGCAAAGATAGAGGTGGTAGCTTTCAGTGCACTAAGAGACGCACTGATGAAGCTTAGGGAGCGCCAAGCGGAGAGCATAAACATATCGGAGTAGGCCACGCACCTTCGCCCCTAGGCTCACTTCCAGGCAGCGCAACCTGTACCGCAAGCCACGCGCTCCTCTGTTTGCATATCATTTTTCCCTGACAGTACATTGTGCAGGAACTTGAAACATTTATTTACACTATGCACAAGCAGCAAAGCAGTTCGATCTGACGTGTCAATCGCATCTGTTCCGAGCACGAGCCCCCGGCCGCCAGCCCCTTGCCACGAGCTCCTTTTCAAAACGTCTGTGGCCCATTTTCTCGTCTTAGGTCTCCGATTGTTGGTACAGACTCCCCACCGAATGGGTGTTACCCCATTTTAAATTTGTTATCTCTAGCGGATAGAGAAGTTGGTCTTTTCAGAAGACTGCCCTGTCCGGGCGCACCATAAATGCACAAATCCTGCCGTCTCGCCCACAGAAAACCTTTTCAACTCTTCCTATCTTCCGGAGTAAACGTGGGAGCTGTTCCTTAAGAAGGACGAGCCCGCCCACCTCCAGACGTGGCGATTGCTGGCCTTTTGTTTCAAGGGCAGATCGAAGTTCTCTCGGGTAGTCTGACCTCCCGTTACCCAGAGTCTGTTAAAGAATGCTTTCCTTTGTTTCCATATTTCTCGGAGCATCTCTGGAGACGACGCAAAGTCTTCTCTTTCAGCCACTGGAAGTGCTGTCAGTCGTCCTCCCCTGAAAAAGCTAGTCGGTGTGAGCGGCTGGCCTTCGTCAAGCTCATTGTAAACGAATGTTGGGGGACAAGAATTTAGCATCGCCTCAATTTCGCATAGGACTGTGGACAACTCTTCTGCTGCGTTCATAGTTTTTCTCCCGATCACTCTTCTTAGTCCCACCTTCACGTATCAAACCAGTCGCTCGTAGAATCCTCCCCACCAAGGAGCACGCTCAACAATAAAACTCCCCTCGATGGTTGCATTGGCGAAGTGATTCACCACTTCTGAGTGTCGTAGGATCTTCCGAAGTTCTGCCAGGTCTCTGGAGGCTCGCTTGAAGGTTAGCGCATTGTTTGAGTAGATGATGCGGCAAAGTCCCCTCCATGACACAAACTTACGGGCAGCTACAAGAAAACTTCTCGTTGAAACGTCTGGTACGAGCTCCAAGTGGACCACCCGCGCCACTGGACAAGTGAACAGAGTGATGTACGACGTCCTTTGCCTGTATGTACAGCAGTCCTGCAAAATCTACACCAACTACCTCGAAAGGTTCAGCCTGCGTCGTTCTCGTACGCAGCAGAGGTCCCGCTGGAGCACTGGAGCACTCGCCGGAATAGCACTAAATCGCTGGCACGTTACACACAGCGCAGCATCTTCTTCACCAGCTCTCGTACCCCGAAGGATCCAATACCTCTCGCGGAGCTGGACTGGAGTGTGTCTTACTCCTGCGTGTAACACCATCCTGTGAGCGTCGATCACGAGTACCGTGGAATATCGATGCTCTTTCAGTAGTACGATAGGGTTTCGTTCATCGTATGTCATGTTGTTCGATCGGAGTCGCCCTCTTATGCGAAGCACTACCTCTTGGTTGATGAAACTACTGAAGTCTCGAAGAGAAGTGGATGGGGTCTCGGTTCTGCTGGTCGCACGTCGAAGCTTGGCGGCAAACGCCGATATTAGCTTTTAGCCAATATGTCCGCGCTCCTTGGATTTCCTCTGCAGTCAGAGGCCCCGATTGTTTTCCCGTTGACCTAACGTTGTGAAGGAATCGAAACATCCACACTCTTGTTCTGTTGAGTTTTGAAGCTGAGCTGAATGCGGTGACATCAAGCAACGTTGCAGATGGTGTTGAAATGTCCAATATGTCAGCTCTCGGTCCCCTCTCCTCGAGTTTATATCGAGGTGGCTCCTCGCGCTTCTCCTTGGGCCATTCTTTAGCTGGCAGCGGCAACCAACTGGTCCCCGAACAACAGAGTGGAGTGGAGACCAATCCAAGGTGGTCAGACCTCGTGACATGAGGTCGGCGGGGTTCTCCTTTCCCGGCAGGTGGTGCCATGTCACACATTGCAGTTCTTTTGTGGCATTCCAGCAACCTTGTCATTTGCCAACCTGATGTCTGCCCTCTATGGAAGGCCGACTTCGCACCTCCCATTGGTCTTGGCGATCATAGTTTCGGAGTCTCGCATGACATCGTTGTCCGAAGGATCGTCCACCGATGCGTCGATGACACCCATCCTCTGAAGTTCCCAGAATTGCTTGAGGCTTGGCATGGGTTCGGGCTCTTGGACCGCCGTTCTCCGCATGACCACCCTGGAGCAACTAATAACCAGGGAGCTTGACCCTTTTCGTCCCTGAACCGCCTATCCGAATACGGGCTGCACTGCAGTCAAGCTTCCTCTGTCGGTGAATCTTTCCAATGATGTACTCCCAGTAGTGATCCGGGCCAAGCAGGATATCGATGCCCCGATGTTCCAGTCCGGTCATGGCATCTCCTACTAAGCAACCGAGCTCCTTTAATGTCGCGACGATGGATTAATCTGGGCTCGGGAGATTTTGTTCGCAGATGGTAGGTGTTTCTAGCATGTCGATTTCATATTTTTTGTAGTACCGTTGGTCCCGCAAAGTAAGCTGCACCCTGCGAAACATACGTTCGGTGCTTTCGCCTCTGAACACGCCGAACGTGAGGATCTCCATCCCGAGTTGTTTGCAACCGAGTCTCTGGGACAGCTCCTCCGTAATGAAGGAACGTTGACTGCTGCTGTCAAAAAGAATTCGGGATAGTCTTCTTTTGTTTTTGTTCTCGGCCCATGCGGTCACCGTCTGCAAGAACACTGCTGGCTTGCAGTTCTTTCCATTGATCTGAAGACTGACCGGTGTTTTATCTTCGCTTTCTGTTTTATTCACCGCGAAAAGTCGTTCCAGTACGTAATCCGGGTCACACATAGTAGGCGCATGCCATCCTTGACACCTGGTGCAACACGGCGTGCTTCGGCACATTCTCGCCGTGTGGTTTGCTTTTGTGCAACGAAAGCATCTGTTGCCAGCCTGTAATCTTTGTTTTTTTTTCTCAGTGAGCTCAATATTGGCGTTGCAGTCAGGTGTGGCGTGTTCTTCGGATTTGCAGAACTAACACTCTAAGCCTTCAGTCTTGCCATACAAGGCCGCTGCGGTAGAGTTTTGAAGGTTTGTGTAGTTTGAAAGTTTCTTAGGCAGTTCTTGTTTAGGGAAACGAATTGCAGGCTATCGCCAAAGTCGTCCTCTTGTTCCTCTGACGTCCTTTCCCAGCTCTCGACTTCAACTCGAATAAATTTGAGTAGAGTCTGTAGAGCTCTTAGATGAACATTCTCTGTTGGAGACTCGGGACTGGTGCCCGTCACTGCGGTGGCGTTCTTGGTGTCCTCCAACGACATCTTCCGGTTGTAATCCAGGGACATGTCCTTCGGTAGTGCTCGCAGTAGGAGCGAGTAGAGCATGGCGCAGTAGGATTCCTCGCCCACACCCAGTGCTCCAAGTCCCCAGATGTGCGCCTGAAGGCTGTCGTACAAACGACGCAGGGTTCGGGCATTGCCCTGTAGTGGTACCTTCTGGATGTCCATCAGACTTTCCATGTGGTTGTGTACCAGAGTCTCTTGCTTGCCGAACCGCTGCTGTTGAAGGTCGATCGCGTCCGCATAGCATTGAGCGGTGGGCTGTAGTTTCGGATGGCAGCTGATCCATCTCCGGTAAGCGCTGATCTCAGGTAATTGAACTTTTTCGATGGAGTCAGTTCCGGATTCTCGTGGATTGTGGTTTCACTCCCAGAATGCTTGCCAATTCTTCCGGTTGCCGTTGAACTTGATAAATTCTAATTTTGGAAGCTTGACTTTCTACGGCTGTTGCTCTCCAATCGTTCGAGGGACCACTTGCTCGTTCGCTGTTCTCCACGCCCTTCGCCTTCTTTCTGAGCTTCGTGAGGCATGTGACAATCTTGTCAGTATAATCTATGATTTGCGTGAACTCCATTTTCACGTCTCTTTCGGTAATCAAAGGCTCGATCGCGGCATCTACGTGGCCGAGTTGATCCCGAGAGAGGCTTATGCACTCAATCAAAATCTCTAGGTCATCGATGACTGCTGGAGTCAGCTGAAATAATTCTTTTGCCTCGCTGAGGAGTTTAGTTACTTGTGTTTGCAGAGTCTTCCGTTTCTTCTTGAGGATGTCCATGATCTTTCAGTCTTGTCTCGATGGAACGTTGCTTCTGTCGTTCGATAGGTATTGCTTCGGTCTACCAGATTCCCTTCGTCGAATCGTTACGTAGCGGGTTTCCGCACAAAATGCATGAACTTCTGGTGGTCATTGTTGGTTACGTTGATGCAAACATTTATTTACACTATGCACAAGCAACAAAGCAGTTCGATCTGACGTGTCAATCTCATGTGTTCCGAGCACAAGCCCTGGGCCATGCGCTCCCAGGCCACTAGCTCCTTGCCATGAGCTCCTTTTCAAAACGTCTCTGGCCCATTTCCTCGTCTCCAGTCTGTGATCGTTGTTACACATTGTTTGTAAAGTAAAAAATTGGTTAGTTTGCAATAAACAGTGAGTTTCTTATATGTCAAATATTGATCTCTTCATTCTAACATTAATTATGTACTGCTCGTGCAAGCTGTTGCTCCCAAGTGCTTGGTAGGAAAAGATACATATTTAGGAGGTTTGAAGGTAGATAGCATGCAAACTTACTCAGCACTTTGACTGCTTGAAGCCCGTGTAGTCTGCAGGGTTCGGGGCGGGGAACTCTTTGCGGACCCTGGTCACCACGCAGCTGGGCAAGGTGACCCGGTTCTCCTTTCCGAGCCTTCCGTGTATCCACCAAACAAATTGGCAGTATGCCGTGTACCTGTACTTACTGCAATGATAACATAATAAAGTTATTTAGTTACACTGCCAGGTATCCACTTGGAACTAGAAGGCATTCATTGTTTTTAGTTCGATGGCCAGCAGCAAGACGCCACAAGCTGTAGTTTCATTAAAACATGCATATTCGAGCGAGCAAGCATGTAATGAATGGTTTGCTTCTAAATTTTGAGTATGTTTTTCAGGCCACCAATAAAAACCTGCCTGTGTCGGAAACTTCAATTGCCAACATTGAGGCACTGCCTTTTCTGGTTCATCTAATGCAAATCTCGCTTTGCATCCTCCCTTTATTTACAAAGCGGTGCACATGATAGTAAAAAAGTATAGTAATTTAGTTTCACTGTACGTACGCATTTATCTCCTTTATGTTTCTTGTGCTGAGAGGCCGGCAGACTCTCAGCTTCCTGTACTCTAGGTCCAGGATATCCCTGTCCAGGCAGTACAGCTCGAAGAGCCTGTGTGCCGTGATGCAGGGAAGGCTCCCAGCCTTCTCTTTGACCTTGCACTGCTCCTTGCAGCACACACTTTCCACTGGTGTGGACATGGTGCCACACCGGGATTCGCAGCAGCACCTGTTTCCCAAAGGTAGAAACATGAATTAGTGCATATGTCAACATTTCTGTAATGCTGTGTGGGCACTGGTGTGGCTACACACTTTGCCTCTTTCTTTTCTCAATCCAATTGTGTCACCCAAACACTGCTCAAGCCTCAGACGCCTTTTGGGAGTATCCACAACCACGATGCAGTCACTATACAGCAGCTACATTTTTGCGTATAATAATATAGTAATACTTTATTCATATTCCTGAATCTTTGACCCAGGCATAGAGGGCCGCAAAAAAGCAGTGCTGCCCATGCCACAAAGGCCTGAGTGCCCAACCTGGGGCCCAGCATTGCGCAAACACGTGCATAATTAAAAAAAAACAACAAAAAAAAAAAAAAAAACGTACAGCGCGCACGTGAGTACTTCGACGGTGTATCGGCACTACGTGCAGGTTCAAGCCCGCACGCAGCTGATGCATCTTCAATTTCTAACGCGCCTTCGCGGGACAGGTGCACGGGTAGCCCCTGCCTTAGCACTGACAGTTTCTAGCAAAAGGAGGCGCATCTTTCTGTAGCCCAAACGATGGAGCCGATAAGTTCAGGTTGGAGCTTACTCGCCGCCGCTCGGCGATACCAAGAGCATGTCAGTCACTAGTACACCTGATAACATAATATATAAAACCCCATTTATCATCGGTTCTTCGAGGCTACAAGTCAACTTCGCGCAACCCCAAAACAATCGGTTCTTCGAGGCTGCAAGTCAACTTCGCGCAACCCCAAAACAATCGCTCTCCCGGGCCTATGCAAGACATACGCTGCGCCATGTGCGCGTGTTCTTACCAGCGTGTGTTGAGTAGCCGCCGCCTGTCACTTCGAGGCAGAGCGTCTGGCGAGGACTCCGCTGCTGGCTCCGTTGAAGTTTCATTACTGTCCGACGTCGCGGACGGGTCGCAGGCGTAAGGCAGCACCTTACGCCTCTTCGCTGGCAGGTGCTCGCGCTCCTCATCCGACGGTACTGCGTCGCTCCCGCTGCAGCTACTGCTGCTGCTGCTGCCGCTCTTGGCGCACGCACGTGTCGCCATAACCACGCCACCGAGCTCGAGGTAAACGCGGCAGGTCACAGGTGACAGCAAACCAACAAAGTTGTGATTTTTCGCGTCTCCTGAGGCAGCTGCGCGAGGTCTCTGAGGTCTTTGACGTCACGAAGCGAGGTTCCGGAGACGCTCACCAGGGGCACCTTAAAATGCTTATTTTCCGGTTTATAAAAATTTACGTGGTATTTTCGCTTTACCAGCGCCAGTAAAAATTAAATGACGTGCCATTCTTGCGATTAAGACCAAAAACGTCGACCCGATTTCACAGTTCAGTATCCCTTTAAGGCTGCGGTCCCACGGCAGCCATCTTGAACAAGGCTTTAGTTCAACCAATAGATGGCGACACGCACCCGTGGGGTGGCCGAAACATTGGTTCACAGTGGGATGGCTCGAGCACCATCACGTTCCCCTCGTGGCCTTGCTCGCGCCGCTGCCAGCTGTGCTCAGCTAGCTCAAGTAGCGTGACCCAGACTCTGGCGTGACCCAGCAAACGGATGTATGCGGAGATGCGGTTCGGTGGCTGTAACGGGCTTTTGCAACAAATCTTACCAAGAAGGAATCAAATGTTGATTGACGTGTTAATATTGTATCAATGAAAATTTCTTCTGCAGGAATGCACGCTCAGTAGACCCAATCTTCCAAGACACCAGTGGAAGCGGACGTCAAGTCGCGATTTACGGTGCTTACCTCAGCATTTTAATGACGACTAAAATAACGTCACGAAATATTGTGTTTCACGGGGTCCGGCAGATGTTAAAGGTTGTTACATTATAGTTCCCGGAAAACAAACGCCGTTGCAATATTTTCTGAAGTACCGATACAGATAATGTTGTAAGTACAGCTTAGGAGGAATATGATGAAAACCATCAGAAGAAATAGGAAGACGTTTATTTGCAATGATGACGCTATGAATGAACGGCGTTCAGCGACGGCAAGTTATGAGCGTTTGGGAATTTATAAGTTCACGTGATTGCTAACTATGGACATGCGTTTTTGTCGGGAGATGGTGTTGGGGTGATGGCCTGATATCGGACGACTCGTGGCAAACGAACATGCAAGTTTCTTCTCAGCGAATGGGAAGTGTCCAGTGCCAAGCACAACACGTGGCTACCGACGTTGTCGACGTTTCGAACACTTACCGCTTTCGACAAAAGTCCTGGCACCTGGGCTAACTGTCTGGAAAGACTCGAAGTCTTCTTTGAGTCCAACGCCATCATGAACAGTAACTGAAAACGATCCACTATTCAGTCGGTGGGCGGCGAAACGTATCCGCATCTGCGGAGTCATGGACGATGCGTACTCTATGTGGTTGGAAGTTTAAACGATGCCTGCCACGACGTCCAAAGACGTCATTGACGTTCTATGGTCTCTTTTACCTACTTTTGCAATAACGAAAATACTTTTCTCTGATAACGCGCCAAATCTTGCTTCAAAGAAAATAAACAAATTTTTGAAGACAAAAAAAGAAAAAAAACGGCATCAGGCATCACATTAGTGCACCATGCCATCCTGCAACTAACGGGCATGAAGAACGGATAATGTGCGAAATAAAAAAAAAAAAAGCCCTTTTGAAGCTCACGGAATAAGCAGTTCAGTGAAGAATCGCCAGGTTGTTGTTCCAGCAGCAAGCGACGGTCTCATCTTACACGGTAAAAACGCCCGCCGAAGCAATATTCAGCGGACGAAGAGCCACACCCCTTGATCTCATGATACCATGGCTTACGAACGAAGATCGAGAGATTCCCAGATCGGGAGTAATTGCAGTTTATTCGGTCGGACAACTCGTCTACGTAAGGAATTTCATCGGAAGTCGGGCCTTCCATGTAAAACTTGAGTAGAAAAGGCTCTATGCTGGTTGACCAGATGGTGTCATCTCTCTGAATACGTTGTAAATCAATGCCCTTGAGTGTAAATATAACTAAATCACAAAACTCTCTTTGTGTATTGTGTAACTGCCCTTGTATTTCATAGTAGAAGCTATGGTGGTGATTCGTATCTCTCGCACCAGGCTCCATTTTCTTATTTTTCGCCTCATACTCCTTTGCGGTTTAAGTATGCTTCAAGAATCTTTTGGAACGGGGACACTTTACGTCAACGAGGCCCTTTGTTCCAAGTAGTCAATCAGGGAATTCTAGAAATTCGTCCCTCCTTTTAACGAATAAGCCGCACTTCTGCACAGTGCAGTTGTAAAGCAGCATCCTCATTGACTCAACCATATTCTGTTGCGGGTGAAGAAAGTCTTTGGGTACACGATACTTGAAACAAGTCTGGCACTGTACGTTGTGGTTCGACACCCACTAATGTCGTCGTCCCTATAGAGCCTCATCATTTAATCATGACCTCATCGCCTCATATTGCTCTTCATCAACAGTAAGTAAAATAGGCTATCGCCATATTACAATCCCAGAATTGAAAAATTGAGTTGTTCAGTCCTTCAACAAGTTTATTATTTATATAATGCTATTACGTTACATTACCCCGAGACGATCGACGTCCATCGTCGATTTTCAAATGCTTATACCTGTATATAAATTAGACGCACAAGGCGGGGGGGGGGGGGGGGGGTCGGTGGCCGAGTGCATGGTCTAGCGCACACCAGATCGGAGCACTTGGAGCGAAAGCTCGCGCTGCAGAAGCCACCCCGCCCCTGCCCGTTTCGATCTGGAAGAGCAGCGTACCGGCGTGCGGTCGTGTGTATCAGTTCTGCGTGGTGCACGTTAAAGACGCCAGGTTTGCGGTTGTACCGCACTGGCTAAACTGCTCATCTACAGCTGAGGGTCAGACGCCCACTAAGGCGGACTAACCTCCGGCTGTATAAACATACACACAACAATTTCCAATTAGACGCATAATAACAAAGAGCACAGCGTGCCGCCTCTTTCTTTGGATGCCTCTTTTTAAACCAGCGCAAGCTCGCGCGTTCTCTCTTTTGATACGGTTAGTACGGTCGCACATAAAACCCACGTTTCACCTACCCGGCCGCTTCCTCCTCTCATTATGTGTAGTTGGTTATAACTAAATAAGCTATAATAATAGTGTATTATTCATATTTACTTTCAGTTTCAGTCAGGGAGAAGGAGTTCTGCGGGAACTAGAGCAAATAAATGAGCTGCGCTTGGAGTATCGGCACTCTCTTCCCCGTCAGTGTTGTGAACGCCGCCTTGTGCAGTGCAGGCGCAACTGCCGATCGTCAAGATTTAAAAGTGCGAAATCCTCAGCATTATATTTGGTGTTAGGAAGCTCACGTAATGTCGCTTTGCTTTGTCGCACACTGTTTAAGGTTGAGGACGGAAAAGCGCTTCTTGTGGTTTCAGATAAAGCTTCAAGTAACTGGCAATCATGATTTTAAGCCACAATATGGCCAAGTGTCGCTACTCTGACGCGTAGCTTATTTAATGACACTATTCATACTCTTGTTCAAGAGGCTTGTAATACCTGGAGGGGCCATGAAGTAAGCCCCGTGGATTCCACAAGCCACTACCTTTTGACACCTGCCTCTTCCTCATTGTTCCCGCTTGTGCCAGTAATACCCTAGTTATACGGGCGCACTTGACTGCAGTTACGCTAAGCCACAGTTAGCGCACAATACTGGCCGACAACATTCTTTGGCTATGCAGTCAAAGCTATGGGCGAACGTGCGCTTGAGCATCTTGAGCACACATCGAAGCAGTGCACGAGCGCTCTCCACTTCTTCTGAAATAGCTGTCCGAGAGTATAGTGCGGTAACTGTGGTGCCACGTAACAGCAGTTAAAGCTGAGTTAACCACGGTTAAGGATGCTCGTGTAACGGGTATCAATTAGCTACGGTTCAGAGTAACGACACTTGGCCATATTGTGGCTTAAAATCATGGTTGCCAGTTACCCGAAGCTTTATCTAAAATCACAGGAAACGCTTTTCTGTACCCCACAAATGTTTAAACAACCCGCGAGAGAGCATTGCAATATTGCATAAGCTTCCTAGCACCGCATCTAATGCTGAGGAAGTCGTACTTTTGGATCATGACGATCGGCAGTTGCGTTTGCTCTGAACAAGACCCGAAATGGCGGCGCCCAAAACAATTTTGGAGAACGGAATGCCGATACTTTAAAGCTCATTTAGTGACTCTAGACATGAAGTAAACTCGGGTGTATTATTTTCCTCTTCTTCTTTATTGTTTATTGATTTCAATCATATCGAATAATGAACACATTATATCACGCTACACGTGTGTAATTATTTGTCTTAGATTTATTAATCGGACCCAGTACTTAAACCATTCATTTATTGATAGTAAATCTTCCAATATATTTTTTGAATGTGAGGGTAAAAAGACACGGAGATTGATGATGATACAGACGCCAACGCCGCCCTCGGAAATATTTTGAACACTAGAAATCAGCAGTTTGTCTGCCATCCGCCAGGTAGCGCAACAAAACACCCAAACAGTTTTTAATTGTTTTTAAAATTAGCTAAGCTCTACACCTATTAAGAAACCAAAGCAAGATCATTGTGAAAATTGAATACATCGCAATGTATATCTATTCCAAGCAATAAATGTTATTAGATGCCAATAAATCTGTTTGATGTCTAAAAAGATATGCATCAAAACAGGTAAGTTTGAAGGGCTCCTGAAGCGTTATAACTTTGAAAATGAAAAAAAGCCATCGTCCACCTCTTGGGCAACCATTGTAGCTCTAAATTTTATAAAAGATTTTGTCATAGCTTAATTATTTCCTCAGCGGCATTTGAAGTACCATGACTCGAAGCACTAAAAAGTGCTACGTTTGATATAAAA